AAATTGCCAAACCCTCCTCCAAAGAATCTTGATTACTCCGTAAGCTGTGAATATTGTTCTGGTACTCCGGGGCATGATACTGAGAAGTGCTGGCACTTGAAAAATGCCATCCAGGAGCTCATTGACACAAACCGGATTGAAGTCCAAACCCCAGAGGCACCCAACATCAACTAGAACCCATTGCCAACCCATCAGGAAACGAACATGATCGAGATAGTACACAAAGGGGGAGGAACCCAAGAAGCCTTCACAATCTGTTATGATGATTCGGTCCAGCGAGGTCAAGCCAGTCAAGAAACCAACGGTTGAAGGATCAGTGTTGGAAAATAAGCCTGTAATAATTGTAGAGGGTGCCCATACGGATCCTGTCATCATCAAGCCTGTAACCCAGTTGCCGGTAATCAGCAGCAAGGCTATCCCATGGAACTATGAACGGGTGATAGTGACCTATAAGGGAAAGGAAGTGAAGGAAGAAGTCAATGAGGCTCAGGGATTAACTCGTTCGGGGAGATGCTTTGCCCCGGAAGAGTTAAGGAAAGCTAAAACATCCAGAGATAACCCAGTTCTAGTGAAGAAAGTGTTGACATCCAATTTTGTCCCTCCTTTCTTCCAAACTATTTCTATAAGCTTCCAATATTATTAATAATTTAAGAATAATTATTTTACAGTTGCTATCCCAAGATAGACCTAATTATTATTATTATTATTATTATTACTATTATTATTATTATTATTATTATTATTATTATTATTATTATTATTATTATTATTATTATTATTATTAGCGTTAGATATTACTATTGTTTATTGTTACTCTTAAATATTTATATTATTTTAATACCCTATCAAGAAGGCTCTTTTAATCAATCAACAATACTTTTATTACAAATGCTTCTTTTTATTATATTGTATTTAATTCTACCCGCTTTTGTAAAATACTTAATCAAGCATATTAGTAGCATGCTCTTTTCTTTTTGGTCGTGATTATCATCTAATAAAACAAATTCTATATGATTAATTCATAATTAGTCTATTTTAGAAAATTATTAATAATTGGGCATGTCAAATGATTTACCTATATAATATTATTATCAGATATAGTTATTAGAAATTCAAATTAGAAGCCCAAGGAAAATATAGGAAGAATGAAAATATTCATCAGCTAGACCATGTCCAAAGACCATAATTCATTCATAATTGGCCCATTTATTTAACCCATTCGGCAACCAAAATCAGGCCCAAACCCGCCAAGTCATTGAACGGACAAAGTTGCCCTCAACATTACTCACCAAATGACCTAAATACCCCCCATTTGAGTTCAAATCAACTAGGGTTTCTTGTTTTCTTTTCCAGAACGCTGCTCCTCACTCCTCTGTCTCTCTCTTCGATGTCAAAGCCACTTTTGGCTCTATCTTCATAACTAGAAAAGTCCTTTAGCCTTTCATCCTTCACAATCAGAAGGTGCATGGCCAATTCGAGCTAAACTCTGAATCAAATTGCTAAGGAATCCCAAAAGTTTTGGCCAAATCTTTAAAGATTACAGATGGGGACAAATGGAATTAAAAGGGTGAAGCTTTTCTTCGTCCTTGCTTCTGATACTTCTGCCTATACCAACGTTCAAACTTCAAAAGGCTAGAGGTCAAAATCCCGCCCAAAAAACCCTAGTCTACTCCTATAAATACTCCTCAACTCTCCAGCCGGGTGGGACATCTTGGAATCCTCGATAAATAGTTAGAACACAGCGAAATCGAGTCAATAAGCAATTTTTTTTTCCTTTTCTGCGATTTCTGTCTCTATTTAGTTTGTTAAAAAAAAAAAGGGTTTCGATCTTATTACGTGGAGGGAGTAGATCTGAAATCTCAAAGTTCCAGTTCACTGGCCCACAAAAGGTAAAATCCAATCCTTTCCGATTTTTTTTTCTCTCTTCTGCTTTCGTTACAAATGTTGTATTTCCTTTGTAGATCATGGCTTAAATTTTATTCTATTTGGTTTAACTGAAATGTGTTAGTGAAATTTTAACTTCTGATGAGATATAAATATCATGCATCTAGGAGATTGGGTGTTTGGACATGTATAGTATTTAAGGCCCTACCATTAAGTGCTCGGCAAAATATTTACATGAGGATATTTTCATTCTTTCTGCATAAACTAGTATTAATGGTGCCCCTTTCGTATTGAATATCAAGCCCCCTGGAATTTTAAGTAGGAGCCAAATGAACATATATTAATATTGGCAATAATAATATTAGAAGCTATGACTCAGATTCCTCTTTTATATTTATATTTATAGATCGCTCACCTATGTAAATTATTTTGGGTTAAATAATTTGAGTGTTCTACTTCAAGTTAAAGGTCTGCCTCCATTCTATTAGAGAATATTTAACTCGACTCTGTATGTTTTATTTCTTCATCCGACTAAGACGGGTCACTAGCTTGATATTTTAGAAAATATGTCCATACGTACTATTTACATTAGTTCGTGTAAAGTATTTTTTTGTTTGTCCTTGCGTGTCATAGAAATCATGCTCCAGTGTTTCTATTTGATTAAAAATCATATCAGTGAATGTTCAAATAGCATTTCTTTCTTAAACTAAAACTGTATATGGACATATTCAAATATTCATTAGAAGTCCTACTCTAAGAAGTTTCCTTTATTGTAGAAAGCATGCCTCTATCTACTTACATATTAGAATGAGTTTGTTTAAATCATTCTAGGACTGTGCTTGCATAAGATAATATTTACTTTTATAAGCAAAGGCGTCAATTGAGGATCCTTTTGATAGTTATTTTAGATTTCTGGTTTCGAACTTTGAGTTTGTAAGTTTTGTGCTCTCTGTTTCGCCTTTCTTTGTTACAATCTATGTGAGTTTCAATTAGGACCTTTCTCTAACTTGTCCTATTTTTCTTTTCTACATGACATACACATCGCTGGAGCCGAAGAGTCTCACTTTGAGACTCGACGATGCCACTGCAGCACGTGGAGCCAATCACGACATGTTCTTCTCGCTTCATTCGCCGTGCAAAAACAGCATAAAATATAATGGAAAACATGTATATTTGGTGTAGGGTTGGAGATTGGGTGGGTGCTTAAATTTGATTTAACTCTCTGTGTTTTGTCTTAGTAGTATAACTCTGCATGCGTTTTATATTTTAGTTGATAACATGGGATTTTACATTTAGTTAATGACAGAAAGTAAGCGTCAAGTGTCATGTGCTGGAAGGTTTCGAAAGCTTAATTTGATATATTTTTGAAACTGGACAAGTTTGAGTCTAAATGAATTAGCTTAGTATTTTCAAAGACTAATATGAATTTTTACAAACTGAGTAGAGCTTGAATTTTTCTAAAACTGCGCTTCTCTAAAATCTCGAAACCAATCCAGATATCTTCATATTTCTCAAAAGTTTAATTATAGTTTTGAAATGAGCTTTCTTAATCAAAGCATTTTTACACATTTTTTGTGGGAAGATGATTTTTTCTTTTTCTTCTTTCTAAAACCAATTCTATATCCCTGACGTTTGAAATCCTTCAAACTGTCATTTCCAAAACAATTTCCTTTTAATGATATTTTCTTCTCCAATCGATTTTATTATTTTAATTAATTTAATCAATCACCTTTAGCTTATCTCAATAAAACTTAATTAACCTAAGTTTGGTCGGTTAACTGTAATTAACGGATTATATAGGGTGCCTCCATAACCTTCCCTATAGGATTAACTAGAACCCTTACCTAGAATTTTTAAGGTTAAGCAGACCATAAAAATAGAGTTAATTTTAAGCATTTAGCTAAAACTGGTGTCATAATTCATCATTAAACTAATAAGGTGGCGGCTCTTTTTTAATTAATTAAACCTCTAGAATTATCAACATGTTATACTATGTTTCGACCGTGTTAAAATGGGGTATAACAACATGGCGATTCTGCTAGGGATATTAAGTTCTAAACCATAACAAACTTAGGTCAATAATTGATTTGTGTATTTGTAATTTGTTTATGATTCTTGTATGAATTGCCTTTGTGTGATAAATTGTCTTATATAAATTGCTTACTTATTATTGCTTTATATAAATTGGCATTGCGCTCCACTTCCTCCACTCCTGGAAAACTCACAAAAATCACACACTTAAGCGGTTACGTGGTTTGCGGCCATGCACTACTCAAAATAGGGGAAAAACTCGTGGGTAAGTCGATCAGCGGTGCAGTCGACAGTCACAGGCTTTCCACTCTTAAGTTGTCCATTTGAGAGCAGACCAGTCTAGAAAAATCACTCTTAGTCAACCTAGGATAGAGTTAAACCAAATCCATTTTCTAAGAGCATGCATCATTATAATCCTAGGTGGCTTAATACCCGAGGTGTATTAAGTCCATTAGTCAACCTTGTCCAAATGTCCGAAAGGGTTTTCAACCCCAAGAGACGCTTATCATGTTATATGTTCATTATTTGAAGGATAAACATGTCAATTGTGTAGACCATTTGCTCTAAATTAATTAAATCATAGATAATGAAGCATGACTAATTTTTCTATGATATGTATGAAAATTTTCAAATAACGTAATGAGGCAGAACAATAAGAAGTTTATACATGTAATTTATTTTCTTTTTATCTTTTATGCAATTTAAAAAGGGCCTAAGCAATTCATGTATTTTATTTTCTTTTGAAAAATAGATTTGTTTTAATTAATTAAAGAGCAATGGGATGACATATAATGGTACATTTACCCTTCAAATCTTCGCCAGGCCTACCTCTGACATAAAGAGGTCCAATATATACTAGGACACGCTTGAATTACTTGCATTGCTTGCTAACTTAACTGCAATGTGATATACTATGCTTTTAAATTTACTGGTCATCTACTAACGCTCTTCTTGTTTTTTCTTTTGTATTTTTCTTTGCATTTGATTATTTATTCCCTAAAGAGGTTGATTCGTGTTGACTGACTAGTTGGCCGAGCACATTTATTTCACAAGATCAGAAGCACCAAATTTGCCTCATCATTACCATGACTGGTCCAACTGGTAACAATCAATTAGGCTTAGAAAATGTAACTTCTATCATTAATCATCCTGAGGCTTCAGAAGTGAGAAACAATACTTGTCATGATGCGTATATAGCTCGTTTGGAGCAACAAATTGCTGACCTACAAGAAGAAGTGGAACGTGCAAGAAGCCTAACCACCTTGTCTCGTACTTTGGATGCTATCCTTCTTCCCGAACCAAGAAACACTGTACCTATTCCCTCTCAATTTTCGTCTTTAAGCTTACCCATTCCTGACCACTCTCAGCCTCATAACATTCAACCCAAAAATATGCCGGCTTCAAATCCACAATATGCCACCCTACCCACGAGCAAGCAAAATTCACTACCAATTACAAATCAGTATCCACAATATGTTACCGCACCTCTTCACCACCAAAACACTCCAACTCGAAATCACCCGATAACTCAATATATATCGTTTGCACATGTCGCCTCACCTAATGAGCAATGTGTTCCACCGATATATATGATGGAAGCCCAACCATTTACTACCCCAATGCCTATCAAATACAAGACATACATTGATCAATATGAGAAGAAGGAAAATAGTGCCAAAGAGGATGAGCGTAATAGGGAAATTCGTAGTTTGAAAGAGGCAATCAAACGCCTTCAAATTACCAAGGAAGGAGAAGGACTTGAATATGAGGATCTATGTGTGCATCCAGATATTGACTTGCCAACTGGATATAAGCCTCCAAAATTTGATATGTTTGATTGTACCGGAAATCCTCGAGCTCACCTAAGGTCTTATTGCGATAAATTGGTGGGGGTAGGAAAGAGTGAAGCCATAAGGATGAAACTGTTCATTAGGAGTTTGACTGGTGAAGCTTTAAACTGGTATACGACACAAAATACAAGCAAGTGGGCTAGCTGGAGTTCCATGGCACGTGATTTCATGGACAGATTCATGTTCAACATTGAGGCCACGCCAGATCGGTTCTATTTGGAAAAGATAGAGAAAAAGCCAACAGAGACTTTTCGAGAATACGCCATGCGTTGGAGGTCAGAGGCCGCACAAGTCAAACCGCCAATGGATGAGAATGAGATGACTACTATTTTTATACGATGTCAAAAGGGTGTCTACTACGATAAAATGATAGTTATGTTGGGAAAACAATTTGCAGAAGTTGTCAAAATTGGGGACATTCTAGAAGAGGGAATCAAATCAGGAAAGATAATAGATACAGAAGCTTTACAAGAAGCAAGCAAAGCAATACAGTCAGGGTATGTAGAGGAAACTAGCAAAAAGAAGAAAGAAGGAGCATCGACTGTCATGACCGCCCAATACATCAGTCGGAGCCCTAGACGCAAGCTCATTTATCAAGACACATACAATCCTTACACTTCAAATTCTTATCACGTCCAAGCTCCACTTACCCCATACTCCATATATAATACCCAACCAAGTTATCACCAACCTCAAATATCAGCACATCAAGCTCCTCAACTGTCACAATACCAACAGTCTCAACAATTCCAACAACCCCAACAGTATCAACAACGCTAGAATCACCATCTAAAGCCAAGGCCTCATCCAAATTATGAAAGAAGACCACGCCGAAATTTCACACCCTTGTCTGAGCCCCAAACTCAATTATTTGAAAGATTAATGGCGGCAGGTGTATTACATCCCATAGCACCCAATCCCATTACGGAATGGTTTGAAGGAGCTAAATATTGTGCATATCATTCAGGAGCTTCTAGACACGATACCGAAAGTTGTGTAGCGCTCAAGCACAAGATCCAAGATTTGATCGATGATAAGTTGATTCAGCTATCTCTTTCGAATTTGAACGATTCCATGCCAAATAAAGAAAATGTTGCAATAAATATGATAGCCACTGAAAAGGAGTGGAACCATCAGGTTGTCATGGAACACAGAGAAGGTCGCAATCTTAACGAAGTCTCAGGGGACCTTTTTTAGAAAGGATACTGACTTGTCTTTGCCTAAGCCAATATCTATGTTGGACCAGCCATTCAATATGCAAGTTCAAGAGGAAGTTTTTGATGATGATTGCCTCGTGAAAGGGGTTGAGAAATTGTTTGTCACCGCTATAGACAAAGAAAATATGATTTTGAAAGATGGCATCAAGACACCGACCATCTGGAAAGCCGAACCAGAGGAGAGTTTGAAGAACTGGACTTGTGCTCCGTCCCTGGTTCGCCGGGAGTCTTGGTAGAATGAACATTTTTTTAATAGCACGATTTCAAGATCCGAGGCCTGAATCGTCGGGTCTTTTGTTGTTTTGCCTCTCCTTTTGAAAACTTAAACGCAGAATCAATGAATGCTTTTTCCATTTTTTTAACTCCTTATTTTATTGAAGTATTTCTTATCTCTTTTTTAGCACATAAATTTAAAAAAAATGCTATTATAAGATTTTGACATATAAAGAAACAAGCGAACAAAGTTTGAATGCCAAACATGATGCTGAAGATAACACATTGCAAGGAAGCAGCTGACAAGCGCGAGGAGAATAAGGATTTAACTTGAAGCAAACTGAAGTAATCAATGGATGACGAAACAAGAATGAAGTTTATCGAATCAAGAAGAATTCAAGATAGTACATCACATGATGGCTTTAGATAGTATAACAGAAAGCAGTCACTGAAGAAGATGCAGAGGAGTTTCTGAGAAAAATGAAGGTACAAGATTATTCATTCGTGGAGCAACTGAGAAAGACACCCGCTCAGATTTCCTTGCTATCATTGTTAATCCACTCAGATGAGCATCGTCGAGACCTGATGAAAATTCTGAACGAAGCCCATGTCCCCAATAAAATTTCAGTGAATTATCTAGAGAAGATCGCCAACAAAATATTTGAGGTAAACAGGGTCACCTTCTCTGATGATGAATTGCCTGTGGAAGGTACTGAACACAACAAAGCTCTTTATCTTACGGTAAAATGTGAAGATTCTGTGGTCACCAGGGTGTTGGTTGACAATGGTTCCAGTGCGAATATCTAGCCTCTCTCTACTCTGAACAAGTTGAAAGTTGATGATGAGAGGATTCACAAGAATAGCATATGCGTCCGAGGTTTTGACGGTGGAGGGAAAGATTCGATTGGTGATATAGTGCTTGAATTAACAATAGGACCAGTGGAATTCACCATGGAGTTCCAGGTGCTGGACGTAGCCATTTCTTACAATTTGCTGTTGGGTCTACCTTGGATTCATGCCGCCAAAGCAGTCCCGTCTACTTTGCACCAGATGATCAAGTTTGAATGGGATAGACAGGAGATCGTCGTGCACGGTGAGGATAATTTGTGTGCTCACATTGATGCCTCCGTCCCTTTCATTGAGGCTGAAGATGACAAAGGGCCTTGGATCTATCAAGTTTTTGAAACAGTGCCGGTCGAGAAGGTTCCAGAAGGGAATTGTGTTCCAACTACAAACATAGCCTCAGCATCCGTCATGGTGGCCGTTGAAATGTTGAAAAATGGTTTTGTGTCAGGTAAAGGTCTGGGAGTATCCCTAGAAGGTATCATACAGCCAGTATCCCTCCCTGAAAATTTGGGTACGTTTGGTCTTGGATTCAAGCCTACACCAGCAGATGTGAAAAGGGCTAAAAGGTTGAAACAGAAGGCGTGGGCACTTCCAAAGCCTATTCCCCGTCTTTCCAAGTCTTTTGTCAAACCCGGTGCCAGGAAACGACCAGTAACGACAGTTCCAAATTCTGTGTTTGACATTGATGAGGAGTTAATCGAAAGGTTCCAGAGGTTGTTTGATGATGTGAACATGGTAGATGTTGGAGAAGGTTCTAGCAAAGCAGATGTGCAGTTCGTCGGGCCAATGTAAAGCTTAACAATTGGAAGGCTACTCCTCTCCCTACCAAGAAGGAGTCTTGGTAGTTTGTTTTGTTTTCCTTTCTATCTGGGTCATTCCAGGGTTGTGACCCAGATTTTTATTTTCCGTTTCTTGATGTACAAACCCTGTTATCCTTTATTTTAATGAAATGCAATTTCCCTTTCCATCAATCCTGATAGTTTTATTTTTTGTTTTCTTTTCTTCTCTGTATAGTTCCTTTTATGCTGGTTTCAATAACATGACATGCATGAGGAATCTTCGGCCCAATCTTAAAAGTCAATCTAATTCTGAAATAATAATCCAAGAAATAGAGTGTGATGATGAAACAGAATATGATGAGGATGAGGCCTTTGAAGAGATTAGTAAGGAACTAAGTCATTTTGAAGAAAAACCCAAGCCTAATCTGAATGAAACGGAAGAAATCAATCTAGGGGATCCAGATAATGTCAGAGATCAGGGAAGAAATAATTAAAGCATTGTTTGAGTATAAGGATATTTTTGCATGGTCGTATAATGACATGCCGGGCTTGAGTACCGATGTGGTTGTCCATAAATTGCCTATTGATCCAGCATTCGCTCCCGTCAAGCAGAAGTTGAAAAAGTTCAAAACTGACATGAGTGTGAAGATTAAAGAAGAAGTCACCAAGCAGCTCGATGCAAAGTCATTCGAGTAACGCGGTATCCCACGTGGTTAGCCAATATTGTGCCTGTGCCAAAGAAAGATGGTAAGACCAGAGTGTGTGTTGATTACCGTGACCTCAACAAAGCAAAGGACAATTTCCCACTACCAAATATCCACATTTTGATCGATAATTGTGCCAAGCATGAGATTGGATCTTTTGTGGACTGCTATGCGGGGTATCATCAGATTTTAATGGATGAGGAAGATGCGAAAATGACGGCATTCATCACACCGTGGGGAACATACTGCTACCGTGTCATGCCTTTTGGTTTGGAAAATGCTGGGGCAACTTACATGAGGGCAATGAAAACCATATTCCATGACATGATACACAAGGAGATCGAGGTTTGCATGGATGATGTGATCATAAAGTCCAGGAAGCAGTCTAACCACGTCAGAGATTGGAGAAAGTTTTTTCAGAGGCTGCGCAGGTACAATCTCAAACTCAACCCTAAAAAGTGCGCGTTCGGTGTTCCATCGGGGAAATTGTTGGGATTCATAGTCAGTCGGCGGGGCATTGAATTGGATCCGTCAAAGAACAAAGCTATCTAAGAATTGCCACCGCCAAAGAACAAGATCGAGGTGATAAGTCTGTTAGGGAGGCTGAACTACATCAACAGGTTTATTGCTCAGCTCACGACAACTTATGAGCCCATCTTTAAGCTACTAAAGAAGGATGTTGCGGTCAAATGGACTGATGAGTGCCAGGAAGCCTTCGATAAGATCAAGGAGTATTTGTCTAACCCACTTGTGTTGGTCCTGCCAGAACCCGGAAGACCTTTGGTTCTTTATTTGACAGTCTTGGATAACTCATTTGGTTGTGTGTTGGGTCAGTACGACATCACCGGCAGGAAAGAGCAAGCCATCTATTATCTTAGCAAGAAATTCACATCTTATGAGGTTAAGTATACTCCTCTTGAGAGGACATGTTACGCCCTGACTTGGGTAGCACAGAAGTTGAAGCATTATTTGTTGTCCTACACCACTTACCTCATTTCTCGCCTGGATCCTCTGAAGTATATCTTTCAGAAGCCTATGCCAACGGGAAGACTTGCAAAGAACAGACCTAAGTCCAACCTGGATGAGACCAAAATTGTTAACCTGGGAGATGTAGAAAACGTCAAGGAAATACGAATCAGCGTTCACCTATCGCCATCAGAAAAGAAAGGATATATAGAATTTCTAAAGGAATATGAGGACATATTCTCCTGGTCGTATGATGACATGACTGGTCTGAGTACGTCTATTGTGGCTCATAAACTACCAACCGATCCATCATGTCCACCAGTAAAACAAAAACTCAGAAAGTTCAAGCCTGATATGAGTTTGAAAATCAAGGAAGAAGTCACCAAGCAGGTCAAAACTAAGGTTCTCAGGGTAGTAGAATACCCGACATGGTTAGCCAACATTGCGCCAGTGCCAAAGAAGGATGGGAAGGTCAGAGTCTGTGTCGACTACCGGGATCTCAACCGGGCCAGTCCAAAAGACGACTTCCCTTTGCCGAATATACACATCCTGATTGACAGTTGTGCCAAGCATGAGCTGCAGTCATTTGTAGATTGTTTCGCTGGTTATCATCAGATCTAGATAGATGAAGAAGATGCTGAGAAAACGGCTTTCATTACACCGTGGGGAATGTACTGTTACAAGATGATGTCATTTGGCTTGAAGAATGCAGGGGCCACCTACAGAGGGCCATGACTACCATTTTCCATGATATGATACACAAGGAGATAGAGGTATATGTAGATGATGTTATCATCAAGTCCAAGAAGGCCACTTATCACATGGAAGATCTGAGGAAGTTCTTCAATAGACTGCGGAGGTATAACCTGAAACTGAACCCCGCAAAGTGCGCATTTGGGGTACCTGCTGGGAAATTGCTCGAATTTATTGTGAGTCGCCGAGGAATAGAACTGGATCCATCAAAAGTCAAAGCCATTCAAGAATTGCCACTGCCAAAGAACAAGAAAGATGTGATGAGTTTCTTGGGGAGGCTTAACTACACCAGCCGATTCATA